TGTCATTAGCTGTGGATCAAAGCCCAAGACAAAGCCTGATCCTGAACTCGGCAGCGGACGAAGGACTCACCGCCAAGCCCAGGCTCACCCAGGTGGGAAAGCCAGTCTCAGCACAAGTTGAGTTTCCATCAGGGCACCTACCTGGGGGTTTCCAGGAGCAACGTGGCTGCAGGGTTGAGATAGCGGTGCTCCCCAGTCCTGCAATGAAGCCTGCTGCCAGTCAGAGACAGCTGCAGAGCACAGCAACTAGTCTCCCCGGCTGTATTCTTCCCAGGGGTTACAGGTTGACTGACCTGCCTGGAAAAGATGATGCAGAGACCTCCTGGAGCCACTGCAGTGACAGCAAGCTGGGAAGCCCTCTGCAATTCACGGATTCACAGAATTGTCAGAGTTGGAAGGGACCTTCTAGAGATTATCTAGTCCAACTCCACTGCCAAAGCAGGGTTGCCCAGAGCACATCACTCAGGGCTGCATCCAGGTGGATCTTGAAGATCTCCAGAGAAGGGGACTCCACACCTCCCTGGGCAGCCTGTTCCAGGGCTCTGGCACCTTCACCAGAAAGTTCTTCCTCATATTTGAGTGGAACTTCCCATGTTCCAGCTTGTGCCCGTTGCCCCTCGTCCTGTCACTGGGAACCACTGAAAAGAGTCCGGCTCCATCCTCCCTCAAACCGCCCTTTAGATATTTATAAGCATTAATAACCTCTCCCCTCAGCCTTCTCTTCTCCAGGCTAAAGAATTCCAGCTCTCTCAGCCTTTCCTCATAAGGGAGGTGCTCCAATCCCTCCATCATCTTAGTTGCCCTACGCTGGACTCTCTCCAGTAGTTCCCTGTCTCTCTTGAACTGAGGAGCCCAGAACTGGATGCAGTATTCCAGTTGTGGCCTCACCAGCGCAGAGTAGAGGGGAAGCCCATCCCGAGGTGCTTAGAGACACACAGAAAAGAGAGGACAGACCTCACTGTAAACAATTTCTGACCTAAAAATGATCCATTTTCCTTTGTCCTTGAAAAATAAAAGCAATTCAAGGTCAAATTGCCCTTAAATGGCGGAAGGTGTCCCTCCATGTCAAGAGGGGGGGAGCTGGAAGGGTGCAAGGGCTTTAACTTCTCACAACACGTGCTTTTCCTTGGGCCCATCTGGTGTTTAGCTGTCACAAAACAGCACGCCAGAGAGAATATTTGAGAACTAAAGCTGCTCATTCTGCCCTGCAGCGAAAAGGCATTGCAAGCACATGCCATCGCTTTGGCTAACAAAACGCCTTCTCCTTCCCTGCACCAAATGCACCCTGCCTCCACCTCCAGGCACCCCAGGCTTGCTCCTTATTCATCCTCTCTGGGGACCACAGCATGCGGAAAGCTGGAGCCAAAGTTAGGTGGTGGAGGACCTACCTGCTCTCTGGGGCTGCATTGGTAGAGACGAGCTAATTAGAGCCCTGTTTATCCCGCTGGGTTCTTGCAGCTGCAGTCGCCATTGGCAGCTGAGCACCTGGCAAGCCAGCAAAAAGCTCATCTGTTGGGAGCTGACTGCTTCCGTGGCTGCAGTGACAGGACTGGTATGAAATTCTCTTGGAGAGCTGTTTTAGATGACTTTTATGGGGGAAAGAGGATGGGTTGTTGACTACGGCGGTGGTGCTTCAATAGGCTTTGCAGCTGGCCAAGCGGAGAGCATGGATGCCCTGTGGGCAACGACAGGCTGGAGAGCTGCCCCAACACACATGAAGAAATATCCCGATGTCCTCGGGTGGTGGTATCACCCCTGCTGCTCTTGCAGGAGAGACTCAGGCACTTTTGGCATAGTTTTTTACTTTATTCCTCTACTTGAAAATCGGCTCATATTCTCTCAGTAACCTCTCTGGGGTCTTGATTATAGATACCAGAAGACTTGATCCCATTCTCGTGCACAAGAGAACAAGCCTTCCTATTGATAGGAAGCCAAGCTCACTGTGAGCCCACCTATCGGTGACTTCAAACCGTCTTTCCAACTGTCGTTCCACAATAACTTTGACTAACTGTACCATTTATTGGCTCACATCACATCCTTATGGCTTCAATTTATTTTTGGAAAACTCAACCCACATTTAATTAGTTTATAGTTTGTTCCAAGTTTTGCTTATCCAGCTTTTTTTGGTCTTTTTTTTTTTTTTTTTTTGAAGTTTGTATTTTGATGTTTAGCATTTGCCTTGGCAACATCTGGAACCCCTTTATGGAAGTGTATTGTTACTTTTACTGCTCGTGCAGCTTTATTAAATCATCCAAGTATTAATATTGAAAGTGTTCATCTGGGTCTAATCAGGGCCAAGATGAGTGATGTGGCAGTTAAATTGTACCTACGAGCTAATGGTTCAAGGACACAAAGTCCTGAAGAAACTTGCAGTGGGCTTTGTGCTCTTCTTTTTAGCTTCCTAGGAGGAGGAGGAGGAGGGAAAAAAGAGATATTCCTGCTCTGACCTTTCTTGCAGAGCAGATAACAGAATCGCAGCCTGAGCTAGTTTAGAACAATTTGTCTCCAAAGAATTTTGTCCAGTTACCGCTATATTTCTGGATCTCGTTTCCATATTTAACTCTTTCATCTGCCTGGGCTTCTCCACTCTGCAGTGCAAATGACTGCCAAGTTAAGATCCCCACCACGTGTGCCAGTACAAAACTGCCAGGGCTGACGTTTTGCTCCGAGACCTCGAGCAAACCCTTGATATAAATAAATAAATAACATACCTCGTGGGTATAAATACGTAAAGAACAAACTCCGTCACTCTTCTGCATCAACAACATGTACAGCCCGGATTTGTTCATTTGCTTCTCCTCTGCAGGGCCCCCAAATATCCCTGGGACGATGGTGCTGAGCCTGTGGTCCTGGAGGAGCATGCTGCGAGCACAGCACGAGCCAGGGCATGGATGGGTTGAGCAGAAGGGCTGGAAGAAGAAATGGGGCAGTGACACCACCAGAGCACAGCCCTGGCTGTGGCAGGGCTGGGTTTTGAGGGGAGAAACCAATTTACCTTTGATTCTCTGTTCCCATGTAATAACACTGATAGGGTTTGTAGAACATTGTAGAAACTTCGTGGCTGTTTCTGTAGATCAAGAGCAAAGGCTGGGCTTAATGAGTGATCCACCTCCAAAACTCTTGTCCTCGAGAGGAGTTTTGCCCAGGATCCTGCAAGTCCTGCCCTGACAGAGTGAGGCGGGGAGACGAGGGTGGCTTGTGCTGGCTGCAGGTGCTTCAAATCCCATCTGGAATCACAATTTCAGTAGCTTACCCTTGGATGGATGTGGGGCTGTTGAGGTTATCCACAAAACCCCCAGGTCCTTCAGCAAGGCCAGAGCAGCCTCATGGACGAGGCGGACGCTGAGCAAGAGGTTGTGGGCAGCATCTTCACCCACTCCGCTCCCGGCTCCCCTGCCACCTTGCAGGACACCATCCCTGTTGAGTCACATTTTAAGCCTCACATGGGTCATTTAACCAAAATTTCCTCCTTCCAGCCTTCAGATGCAACAGGCATTTCTTCTGCAGCCAGGTTTCCTCTCCACTGTTAACCTTGGCCCTATGTACGAGGCCATGGGAGCTTGTAAATGGTTTATTTCAGTGTGGGAGCCTTCCAGCAGCTCTTTTATGGCCATCTCGTGGAGGGGGGTCCAAGCCAGCGAGGGAAGCGGAGCAGGCATGCGAGATGCTGTGGGAGCAGGCTGTGTGCCCCGGATTTGGGAAGCAGAGAAGTTAAAAAAAATTTTAAAAATCTCTTTTTTGCTGTAAGGAAAATATATGTGTTAAAAAGGAAAGGGACTGCAGGCTCGTCTGTTGGCCACAGGCAGGTCGCAGATGTGACCACCAAGAATGCAAGAGGTCCTTGCAGGTTGCCCACCGACCCCAGGATGCCTGTGGGTATGCTCCTGTATCAGCAGGTCCTTGCTTGCAGGGGCTGAGGTTTTCTGAGCCACAGTCAGGGATTTTGCAGTTTGTTTCTTGCTCGAAGTAAGGGCTGGTGATGGAAAGCCCCTGTGATGGCAGTGGCAGCACAGCGAGCCACCACTGCCCTTTCCATAGGAACTGGGAGCACCCAGCGCTGCCGGGCAGCCCAGGGAGGCAGCTGCTGGAGAACCACAGGTGACCCAACCCTTCAAAAACTCATCTGCTGTAGCTCAGCTTCCTACCTGAACACTCTTAAGTGTATTTATTTAGTTAAATTTATAAATATATTCTTCTACATAAGTCACTTAGTGGCTTCTTTTTCTTTTGTTTTTGTTTTGTTTTTTTTTTTAAATGGACATTTAGCAGCCTTAAAACAGGAAGTTTAAATTTAGCTGGGATTTATCCTTTTACTGAGCATAGTTCCTTCACCCTTTGTATAAAAACAGATAATTTGATGCCACTGAGATACAGGCAGAGCATCTCCACACGGGCAGCAGGTATTCCTGCTGCTGGGGCTGGATCCGGCACTCCAGGGCAGAGCGGGCAGTGGAGCCAGGGCAGGAGCAGCCCAGAGCTCAGGAGGTCTCAGCCCATCCTTTATTTCGTTGCTGGGCAGTGGGTGGCAAACACATTCCCTGGCTTGGGCTCGTGGAATGGGCAGAGGGAGGATGAGGAGGCAGCAGGAGAGGAGGGAGCTGCCCCAGCCTGGCCGTGCGTCCCTACCCAGCAATAAATAAAGTCTTCAGGCATGCAAAGACCTGGAGGTGTCCCTTTTCGGATATTGTGTGCACTCTGGATGAGAAGAGATGCTGATTTGAGCCTAGGTTGTAGAGGAAGAAGTAAACTTCCCCTTGATGATAACCCAGTATGGGAAACGCAGAGGAAAAACAGTTCTTTGCAGCTTCCCAGGCTCTGCAAAGCATCCCTCCAGCTCCTCTAGGCTTTGGCATAATCTAAAGCCCATTTCCCCCAGCAGTGGAGCAAAATGAAAGCTGTCAACAAACACATGGAGAAACAGGAGCGATTCGGGCTCCTTCTCTCACTGGAAATAGTGGAAGGTTGTTTCTCCTCACCCCCGCCACCTCTCTGCCCCGCAGCCTGCTGTGCCGGCGCCCGCCGCAGCCTGAAGACCAACCTGTGCAAGTGGTGTGACTCCACACCACCGGCCTGCGAGGAGAAGGTCTGCTACAGCAACTGCAACCTCAACTCCTACTGCGAGGACCCCTACGAGATCTGCGTGGCCATATGGTAAGCAGCAATCCCCTTGGCAAGGGGGGACGCGGTGGGAAGAGGGGTTTGCGGGGCAGCAGCTCATGGGAACACACGTATATCTACTCCTGCACTTGAATTATTGCCTGTTAAAATAATTCAGGACTTTCTCTTCCTCCCCCTTTAATTCCACCATAATCAAAATCACAGTTTGCAGTAAAAAATTTATCTGGTCTGCCCTATGATTAGTAGCAGTTCATTTTCTAAATGAATTGAACACTGAAGTGCCCGACACAGGGATTGGCAAGTTTGCTGCAGGACCTCTAAACCCCCATAACTCCCTGAATTTAGCTTTACAGGATGAACCCACTGGGCAACACCAGCAGCCCTGACCTCCAAACCCGTGATGTCCTCCTGTCTCAGGCTGGTGAAGCCCCAGTTCACATGCAGGGGCACAGCTGAGGTCTGTCCCCATCCAGCTCATGGACATCCGACCTGGTACTGAACCGGGGCTCAACCCTCTGGGTTTAACCCACCTCCTTCCCATCCCCTTGGAAAAGCCCTTTTCTGCTTCTCCTGGAGGTGCCTGTAAGGGAAACACTATCTTGCACTTCAGGCCAAGCATACACTGCATCATTTGCCCGGAAGACTGCCTCCCCCAGCATTTTGGTCCTCATGAGTAAAACTAAAAAAACACCCATTTTGGGTCTGCCCAGAGTGATTTTCTCTTCTTTCCCTTTTAATTTGGCTGCCAAAGTGAAAGCCAGCCAAGCACTTATCACTAGGCTTTATCTCAACCTGCTAATTAGTGTGAACGCTATACGCCCCACTTTCTGTAGGAGTTTGCCTCAACATAATTGTTGCATTATGGACTTGAAAAAAAGGCAGAATGCAAAAACAATAAGAAACCCAAACAAACAAACAAAATCCACCCCCTGCCCCAAATTCCCCTACACGCAGATGGAAAAGCCACCTTAAATCCCGGGTAGGCAATCCATCATCTCGCTGGGTTTTCTCATTGACAGCCTACATGTACAGGAAAAAGCAAGACCCCCAGAGCATAAATCCCCACGCCAGGAAAGCAACCCCATGGCATGGGGTGGGGCTGCACCTCGCACCACGTACCGGATGGGGTGAGGCAGCTCTGGGGTCACAAATAACCTACCAGGCCTACAGCCTCCTCCCAGCATCTCCCACCCCATCCTAAGACCCATCTTGAGATTAAGATGCCTCACCTCCAAGCCAGCCTCACTGCCCGTTGCTCCCTTGCAGAGGCATGTTTGGGTCATCAGAACTTGTCCCACGTGGGTGTCACAGTGACAGCAACAGCTTTGGCCCCATGCTCACGAGCAATGTATCGCCTTCACGTTATAATTTGGCAGCTCCAAAGGTCAAGCCGTTTCTCGAAATAGCCCCAACCAGCGACTGAAGGGCTCTGCTCCCACAGGTGGTGGGAGCAAACGGTCCTGCAAGGATGGGGCACAACAACCAGCAATTAGCCCAGACAGTGCTCAGGGGATGAGATGGCTCTTACAGGCTCCACCTGCTCACATGGGCTGAGATGAGCAGGAAGGAAGCACGAGCCAAGTGGTCCCTGGCAGGTGGCCACCATGTCTCCCACCTTTTCACCCTGCAGAGATGAAATCTCCTGAGGCAGAGATGTTACGACTTGCATTGTAGCAGAAGAGGTGACATCCGAGGCAGGACCCTCATTTTGAAGGGTTTCCTTAGGTCCATATAGCCCCCAAACCAGCTGGCCTAGCAGGTGGTACTGGTAAAGGATGGGATTTTTCCCCAAATCCTGTGCAGGACACTCAGCCTTAGGGTTGGCACTGCCTGATCCAAGGTGTGATTATGAACTGGTGAATTATCTACTGGAAAAAGTAGAGTCTCGGGCTCACATCCTATTATTGGCATGTGCTAAACATCTCTCTTTTCACCATTTGGGAGAGATAACGGGCTTTAACAAAGCCCCTCCAAAGCATGTATAATTAGAATTATACCAGAGCCACTGCAAACGAGTCATTTCCTACACAGCTTAAAATGAATTATCTTAAAAACCAGGTTTAAGGTGTCACGCAGGCGACACAAAGGCTGAGCCATGAGACTAATGCTCTGTCGCTTCGTTTGGCACGTGCAGGAGGCAGGACAACGAGAGCATCAGGATCAGCACGCTCTGCCACAACCCCCACCGCCCCATCGAAAACCTCATGGTCCCCAACTACAACACCTCGCGCTGCATCATGACCCACCAGCCCAGTGAGGAGGGGATCATCTACATCTGCGGCTGTGTGGACGAGCAGGAGTGCAACGATAAACTCATCTTTGAAAACCACACCAATGGTGAGCGCTTTTGTTAATGTTATTTATGGCAGGGAGACGCACCCAACGCTAATGATAAATTACTTGTATTTCCAATAGAATCTTAGGATTATCTAGGTTGGAAGGGACCTTTAAAATCATTGAGTCCAACCATTAACCTAACACTGCCAAAACCACGTCCCTCAGCACCACACCTACCCGTCTTTTAAATACCCCCAGGGATGGCAATTCAACCACTTCCATGGGCAGCCTCTTCAGTTGTTCAATAACTCTTTCTGTGAAGAAATATTTCCTAATATCTAATCTAAACTTCCCCTGGCACAACTTGAGGCCGTTTCCTCTTTTTCTATCACTTGTTACTTGGGAGAAGAGACTGACCCCCCCCGCCTCACTACACCCTCCTTTCAGGTAGTTGTAGAGAGCAAGAAGGTCTCCCCTCAGCCTCCTTTTCTCCAACAACCCCAGCTCCCTCAGCCCCTCCTCATAAGACTTGTTCTCCAGACCCATCACCAGCTTCATTGCCCTTCTCTGGACCTGCTCCAGCACCTCAATGTCTTTTTTGTGGTAAGGGGCCCAAAACTGGACACAGTACTCAAGGTGGGACCTCACCAGTGCTCAGTACAGGGGGACAATCACCTCGCAAGTCCTACTTACCACGCTGTTCTTGATACAGGCCACGGTAGTGTTGGACTTCTTGGCCACCTGGGCACACCGCTGGCTCATGTTCAGCCGACAGTCAATCAACACCCCCAGGTCCTTTTGTGCCAGGCATCTCTCCAGCCACTCTTCCCCAAGCCTGTGGCATTCATGGGGTTGTTGTAACCCAAGCGCAGGACCCAGCACTTAACCTTGTTGAACCTCATCCCATTGGCCTCGGCCCATCGATCCAGCCTGTCCAGATCCCTCTGTAGATCCACCCTCAAGCAGATCAACACTCCCACCCAACTTGGTGTCATCTGCAAACTTACTGAGGGCACACTCTGTCCCCTCATCCAGGTTGTTGATAAAGATATTAAAGAGAAGAGGCCCCAGTACTGACCCCTGAGGAACACCACTTGTAGAGTAGGAGATGCAATGCCAGAAGGAGCTCTTTCAGCATCTTCTTTGACCTCCCTATGTAAAAGCTAGGTAAAACTTGTACCCTGTTACTGAGCCCCATATTTTATCTGTGGTTAAGCCATCCCTCCAGCCTTGGTCTGGAAACATCAGGCAATGGAAAATCCACCGTATCTCTCAGTAGGTTGTACCCTTCAGCGAATCAGGGCGAATCAACCAGGGAACCCAAAAGCTGATGTAAACCAGTGTGAGTCAATACTCTGAAAGCTTTAAATAAATAGTGCCAGAGAAAATCCTGCCCCAGCATACCCATGGGAACCTCTGGCGTCCACCACAGCTCCAACCCAAAAAGGTGGTGGTGCTGGGGCGTGGGGCTCAGTGCTCGGCTGTGCCTCCCCTGCCACTCTCCTGGGGGTTTCTGCAGCAGCATTTTCCCCTGGCAGGGACAGCCAGAGCCACCCTGCTGCTGTACACAGACGTGAGCATGGCTTGGCACACCTGTGGATGTTTCAGCAGATGGCTGCAGGTCCAACAGGAGCTATAAAGCCACAGGAGGGAAATCTAAGAGGCAGTTCGTTTCTGAACCTTGAGAGGGTCGTGTATTTTGGAAGCGCTTCCAGCTAGATCCCGAGCCTTTGGGGGCTTGTCCAAACCTCCCTAATTCCAAATGGCCCAGGTTTATCCAAATGCCCATCAAGAACCTGACCCATAACAAAAGCAAAATGAAACCCTTCTGATTTTCTGTAATTACAGAGCAAAGAGATGCTGAAAATGAGCCTAAAGCATAACCTGCAAGTGGGAGGCATAGCTTCTCCCGCAACGCAAAGGAAAAATAAAAAAAGAGAAATCACATAAAATGCAAATTTTCAGAACAAACAAGCCACTTTTAATGAAGGCAAATGATGCTAAATTTGGCAGTTCTTTGCTGCTTCCTGAGCCAAACATAACAGGTACACGCACTTCTAGGGAGAGATACTCAAATCCCAAAGCCGATGCTGGGATATGTAATTTCACACAAAAATGACAACTGGCTCATTGGAAATGCCACCCCCACCGAAGGCTTCCACAAACACCCTCCTCCTGCCAGCCGGCACCTAGAGCTCAGAAACTCAGAGTGAGAGTAGCTCGACCCTTAAACAATTAGCTTCCTCTTTGATTTGGTTTGTGGGACTGCTTGGGAAGCACCAGATTCAGAGGTCCCATCTTTTACATCCTTTTCTTCTCCTTTAAAGGATCATTTGCATTGTAAACATTAACTTATGATCCCCTTCAATGGTATAAACAAACACCGAGCAGAGAGAAATAGAGAATTTCTAGAGAAATACCTACTAGAGATGAGTGTTTCTCCAGCAGCTGAAGCAGGCAGATTTTTTTCCCATTTCTTGGTTTCTTAAGCTCTACTTTCAGGTCTGGGCTGCTGGGTGGCACTGCCCTAGCACCAGGGCTGCAAGGAACTCCATCAGAGTTGAGAGATGACCCTAAAAAACACACAGCAGCATCATTTCCTAAAGCCATGCAAGCAGGAGCCCACCTTGGGAAGACACTGGGTAGGATTGAGCACATCAAGTCCTCTCCACCTTGGTGCCAAGCTGAGCCTGGTCCTGGAGGTCCACCTCCCCCTGGCAGGGACAGAAAGCCCCACGCAGTGATGCTTAACAAGGTGTGGGTTTACAGACCCACAGTTACCACCAGAGCAGCCACATGTGGTCTCCATGGAAGGGGTCTAAGCTGTGCTGCAGCCCCCCTGTATCCAAGGGCTTGCATCGGGAAGGGGCATCCTCACGGAGGAATTTTCTGGAGTTGTGTTAACTTCCCCTTTTCAGATCTGGTGCGTGCAACTCCCTTAAAAATATCTCCTCTTTCTTCAGAGTTCCAAAGATGGGATCTTAAGCATCGGGTAAATCCATTAAAGCAGTAGGTGATATCCAGGCCTAGGGCTTTCCAAAATAAACATATTCCTGAGTTAGTTATTGATTTATATCAGTTTAGGTTGATCTTGTGGTTTGAACCTGATGCCTGTTTTAGAAACGCTTTCACAGCCTTGCAGAAATTAGCTGCAGCACATTTTTTTGAAATTTGCCAAGGAAAATAGCTAAACGCTCTGTTTTTCCAGAACCTGAATTATGATCTGCACACACTGAGGTCAAGCAGCGAGAGTTTTGCTTATGGAATGATTCTTATCCCTCTTCCCCTGGGTTATTATACTTGGCAGAAAAACCTCTGAGTAAGATTTTACTTGAATATCTCTACTGAAGTCAGCATGTTTATTCCAGGAATCGCGAACATCAAAGGATCAGACAATTATATGTTGTGCGAGGGTTAGGGCTTTTTGTGTGCTTCCCCCCCCCTCCCCCCCCCCAGCCCCCCGCAATGATCTGAAGGCTTCTTTAAAAGAAACAAAACAAAAGCAGCCATGCCTGCTCGGTTGACAGGGGTCAGTGCTGTAACGCAGCCAGGAAGGAGATGCCAACACCGTCAGACTGTGCTGAAACGATGTTCCTTGGTGCTAATTATTATGCAAAGCATCCCCGTGTTCCCCCCGGGATGCAGAGTCCCACACCCTGCCCACCCCCTCCCCACCAGCATCCCTCCCGCATCTCCCTGCACAGGCAAAGCCCCAGCCTCAAATTTGCTCCGTTCGAGCCTTGCCTCAGCTTCTATCCCTCTTATTTATTATCCCTTGCTCATGAGACCCCACCTGGAGTACTGTGTCCAGCTCTGGAGTCCTCAACACAGGAAGGACTCAACAGGTCCAGCGGAGGGCCACAAAGATGATCAGAGGGATGGAGCACCTCTCCTATGAGGACAGGCTGAAAAGAGCTGGGGATATTCAGCCTGGAGAAGGCTCCAGGGAGACCTTAGAGCAGCCTTCCAGTATCTGAAGGGAGCTACAGGAGGGCTGGAGAGGGACTCTTTGTCAGGAAGTGCAGTGACAAGACAAGGGGTAACGGTTTTAAATTGGAAGAGAGAAGATTTAGATTAGATATCAGGAAGAAATCATTTACTGTGAGGGTGGTGAGGCACTGGAACAGGTTGCCCAGAGAAGTTGTGGATGCCCCATCCTTGGAGGTGTTCAAGGCCAGGCTGGATGGGGCTTTGAGCAACCTGGTCTGGTGGGAGGTGTCCCTGCCCATGGCAGGGGGGTTGGAACATGATTATCTTTAAGGTCCCTTCCAACCTGAACCATCCTATGAGTCTATGATTTCCACCCTGGCTCCCCTCACTGGGCACAAGCAGCACTTGGGAGCTGCCAAAAGGGTGGCCGAGCCATTGTGGTGGCAGTGGCCAGGTCTCACCCTGCCCCAAACCCTTGCTTGATAAATGGAGCTAAATTTGGGAGCTAACCCAAGCAGCCCCCTTAGTAACTACCAACATCTGGTTTCTCCGCCGGGACGGGGCTTGTGGGCATCCTGCCTCGCAGCCCCGCAAAGGGCTGCACTTCATTAACAGCTTCACCTTATTTTCCTCCTCGGTGTGATGATCAACCGAGTTGTCACAAACTCTCACCTTCGCTTTCCTCCCCACAGGCTACTCCATGCTGCAGAGCAAAGAGGTGATCCCGGTGGCTGCCATCAGCCTCCTGCCCCCACTGCTGGTGGCGGTGATGATCACGGTGACGTTCTACCTCTGCCGCACGCAGAAGCGGCGCAAGAGGGCCAAGGCGTGGGGGGGGAAAGCCGGGCAGCCCCCGGCCCTGCCGGAGCCGGGAAGGTCGGCCGAGCGTGAGGAGAAGTTGTCCGTGCTGATGGATGAGAGCCCGGCCGGCGCCAGCCCCACCAGCCGCCCCACCGAGCTGCTCCCCATCGAGCTGGACGAGATGGTGGGCAAAGGGCAGTTCGCGGAGGTGTGGAGGGCCAAGCTGAGCCACAGCCGCTCGGGGCAGTACGAGACGGTGGCCGTGAAGATCTTCCCCTGCGAGGAGTACTCCTCCTGGAAGAACGAGAGCCAGATCTTCACTGACGCCAGCCTGAAGCACGACAGCGTCCTGCGGTTCCTCACTGCTGAGGACCGTGGCGCGGGGCCGCGCCGGGAGTACTGGCTCATCACCGCCTACCACAGCCGGGGCAACCTCAAGGACTACCTCTCTCGTCACGTCCTGAGCTGGATGGACCTGCAGAAGATGGCGGGCTCCCTGGTGAGTGGGGTGGCCCACCTCCACAGCGACTACACCGCCTGCGGCAGGCCCAAAATCCCCATCGCCCACCGGGACATCAAGAGCACCAACGTCCTGGTGAAGAATGAGCAGGAGTGCGTGCTCTGCGACTTTGGCATCGCCATACGCCTCGACCCTTCCCTGACAGTGGATGACTTTGCCAACAGCGGGCAGGCAAGTAAAGTATCACCCACTGGCTCTCCCCAGAGAGGACCCTTTGCAAACCATCCTTGGTCACCCCATGGCTGAGGTCTCCTCGCCCACTCCTACTAATGCCTCTCTCCTCTTTGCGGGCAGGTGGGCACCGCCAGGTACATGGCCCCAGAGGTCCTGGAGTCCAGGGTGAACCTGGAAGACCTGGAGTCTTTCAAGCAGATGGATGTCTACTCCATGGCCCTCGTTTTGTGGGAAATGGCCTCCAGATGCGAAGTGGTAGGAGGTAGGAGCATCGCACTGGGGTTGCCACATGTCTTTTTGCTCCCTTCCTCCCAGTACGAGGACGGGGCCCACCCTCGTGTCCCTGGTGGTGGCACAGGACCTGATTTGGGGCAGCTCAGGTCTCTGCAGGGCTGCTAAGAACTGGCAGCAGATCCTGCCCTGTGTGCTGTGGCTCAAGGGGGCTGGCTCAGTGGCAGAAGAGCAGGACAGGACCCCAGAAGGGGGGTCATCTGGTCCAGCCCTCGCTCAAAGCCAGCCAAGTCGCATCCGAGTCAGCGCTGGCAATGCAAAGCAAACCGAGCAGGAAGAGCCAGAGCTGCCTCCCCCTCCCTGGCCACAAGCGCCTTGTTGGTTTTTGTTTTTCTTTTCAGACAACAGCAGAGGGTTTATGTTGCAATGGGGACTCACAAACTCCAGCCTCCAACAGAGCCACGTCCCCCCTCACTTCCCAGAGCCACATCCTGGCATCTGTAATTGCGTGTAGCAAAACGTTTAATTAACTGCCCGGCTGTTAGCCCCGGCCTGCCCTTCTGCCTGCTCCCCCCTCTTCCCTTTTTAGCTCTGTCTGGTTCCTTCCCTATCCCACCTACTTGCAATACCAGCCCCTGGAGCTGCAAGAAGCTCCAACCCTCAGCAAGAAAGCTGCCCCAACCATCCCCATGTGCCCCCTCCTTGGCAATGCCTGGATCAGATGCCCTGTGCATCCTTTGCTCCCGAGCCAGCGTCCCAGACCATCCCTCCCCACTCATATCTCACCTGCATTCAGACCCAGGCAGGATCTGGCAGAACCCATGGTGGCCTCTCACCTCTCCAACAGGGAGTTTCTCCTTGGCCTTCTCCTTGGACACGAGGTTGCTCTTCTGGAAGGGCCATTTCTCCTCCAAGCCGATCCATGCCCGCAGCAGGAGTCTGGATGCTGGTACCATAGTTGCTTCTCCCATCTTTCACCAGCGCAACACATTTTATCTGCTCAAAATATGTCTCACCCAAAGTCCTTTGTAGTGCATCTCTTGGGTTCAGGAAGGTGGTCAGATGGTTCCTTGGTCTTATCTCTGAAAAAAAAAAAAGCCCTCTATATGAAAACCCAGCACTATGTTTCTGTGTTCAAATTCTAAATTGTTTCCAGATCTGTTTATTTTTGCAGACTGATAAAACCAAATTTATTCTCCTCCAGTGGACCATACCAAAGCAAAGCAGGGAATGCATGAAAAACATCCTGTAGACACTGCTGTTGCTTCTTCCTTGCAGAGGTGAAGAATTACGAGCTGCCTTTTGGGTCAAAAGTCCAGGAGCAGCCCTGCGTGGATACCATGAGGGACATCGTGCTGCATGGCAGAGGACGCCCCGAGATCCCCAGCAGCTGGTTGGTGCATCAGGTAAACTGGGGGTAGCTGGTTCAGGAAAGAGCAAGCCATAAAAATCAATAGAGCTGTAATCAAAGCGAGAGGAGGCAGAACTCCTGGACCCTACTTGCAGCTCCTTCTTGGCTGGCTGAGCCCACGTAAGCCCCACAAGACCCAGGCCCCTGGTGTTTAAAAGCCATCAGCCAGGGGTACAGCAAAATTTAACGGTGCGTAAATTGTCCTGATCAGGAAGCGTTAGGAATGCCAAGCGATGCTGTTCAGTTATCTTGTGGATAACAGCAACACGGAGCATTTTAGTGCAAGCTCTTCTCACGAAACAGTAAATTATTTGAGTCCACCCCCTTTATTCCACAACCACCACATCCAGAAACACGCAGTCCCTCGCACGCAGCCATCTCACAGCAGGGACGGGGGAGAAAGGTGCACCCAGCCCCCTGCCCGCACGATGATGGAGCTTTCAAGCTCAAAATTACCTCCAACACGAGGGGTCAGGACTTGGCACGCAAGAAGGAGGACTTCTGCAAGGAAAGCATCTCCCTGGAGTGAAACGATCAGGAAACACGCGTGAAGCTGAAAGCAGGGAACCTGCTGGGCTCAAGCCTTGTCAAGGGGAAGTCTTTCAGCAGCTCAGAGGGTCTGACAGCACGGTGCTTCAGCACAGCAAGCCTAATAACCCAGTGCTCTGGAATAGAAATACTTGGGCAGTGATGAGATGTGCTCTGTTGAAACCATCCCCCAGGCACACCCAGACCAACCAGCTCCAGAAACACAGCTACCTCCCAGCCCCGGTGCGGTCCTCTCTCCCCCAGCTCCACTGCTTTCTTCCATGCTTTGAGGAGACAAGGGTAACACGGGCACACTGACTGCGATTTTTAGATCTTGCCTGACTTCTGTACTTCTTAAATTTCACATGTCTTGGGGAAAAAACACCATCTGCTGATCAACAATTCAGTTCACCTGGAAAAAAGCCAGAACGTTGAGCCTGTCGGCTCAGGGAGCCTTCAGGGTTCAGCGCATCATTTTGCGGAACCCACCCATAAAACACAGGGGTCCCACTTCCACTCTGCCTGGACCCCCCACAAAAGCCAGGCTTTTCAAAAAGAGAGATGTAATTCCACCATCTTTGTAGGCCGTGTGCTCCCTACAATATCTCCTCTCAAAACCGTGTTTGCCCAAAGATTCACCACCAACCTGACCCACCGAAGCTGCCGACCGCTTCAAATCAGCCTGTGGTTTCCATCGGTGGGTTTATCAGCTGGCAAGTCCCTTTCTGGGCCAGCCTTCTTCCTGGATGAGGGCAAGTACAGGGACTCCAATCAGCACCGCTGCACATTTGAAGCCTTTGGGTTATTCATCACAGACATTCAACCTCCCGGGGCCTCTGATAAACTTGGAAACCACAGGGAAAACATCCAGAGGCTTGGGTTGTGAGAAAAACCACGCTCTGATAGAGCCGGACCGTACCTGAGCTGTTTGCTGAGCTGAAGAAGGAAGGGCTGACTGCAATCACCCCCGAGATACAGCGTTGATGCAGTTGGGTTGGGCAAGGACATAAACAGAGCGGGGCTTATAAGGTTGTAACTTTTATGAGACCACCTGATATCCACCGGGGAAGAGGAACAGAAAAGCCACGTTGTGCTCCTGAAAGTTTTCCTCCAACTAATCTCAGCTGATCTGACAAACATCTCCTCACAAACCCGGCCTGACAGGGTTTTTCCCAGCATTTTGCAGGCAGTGTCCCCAGGATGCGGCATAGGGCAGCACCATCTGCTGGGAAGCAGCAGAAAGCCACCAGCTCGTGCCAAGAGCTTCCTTGGGAGTCACAGAATCACAGAATGGTCAGGGTTGGAGGGGATCTTTGGAGATCATCTAGTCCAAGCCCCTGCCAAAGCAGGTTCACCTAGAGCAGGCTGGACAGGAACACACCCGAGCAGGTTTTGAACATCTCCAGAGAAGGAGACTCCACAACTTCTCCAGGCAGCCTGTTCCAGTTACCCTCAAAGTAAAGAAGTTTTTCCTCATGTTCAGGTGGAATTTCCTCTGTTCCAGCTTGTTTCCGTTGCCCCTTGTCCTGTCACTGGGCACCACTGAAAAGAGTCTGACCCCATCTTCTTGACAGCCACGTTTAGATATTTGTAAGCATTGATGAGGTCCCCTCTCAGTCTTCTCTTCTTCAGGCTAAACAGACCCAGATCTCTCAGCCTTTCCTCAAAAGAGTCAAGGGCTTCCCAGAGGTGACAAAAGTGCTCACCTGAACAGGAAGCCCCCATAGATGTTCCCACCAATGAAAATAAGTTTGACACTGAGCTCCAAACACTACTTCCATGTTTCAACCAACAGGATCCCTTCTCAGTCAAGTGGCCTACATTGTTGGCCACAGTTCCAGATTCTCAGCAGACATAAGCACTGATTTCCCTGGCAGAGCTGACTCACCCAGCAGGATGCCCACCAGAAGCTCCACAGCCACTGTCCTCAATGGCTGCACAGTAAAGCCCACTGAAGACATTTATCCCCAAAGTTTCCCCAGATAACCTACAAACACTTTGCTTCCGCCTCGCTTCATACCCCACCATATTTAAAAAAGAAAAAAAGGAGGTTATTTAGGCCAGGTGAATTCCTGGATCTGGTTCCTGAAGCAGCTGAACAGACTGTTGTACTGGCACAACCGAAGAGCTGGTGCAGAACAGGAAGGAGCAGTGGGAGCTTAAGTCAATATTGCCACTAAAAATATACTTGTAAAACTCAGCATCCTTTGGAAACCCGAGACATCAAACACAAAATCCTAAACCGAGTCCATTTCTTGAGCGTAGCAAGATGTCCCAGTTGTAGCGTTCAAAAGAGCATCGTCCCTACTTAGAAGGCAAACTGCAAATAAATGCCGTGATTTCGGGGCAAAATTAAGCACAGAAAATCTAACAACGAAGCCATACGGCGCTGCCACGTCCTGTTTGAGAGAAGGCTTATTTTAAAAGCTTCGGCTAAGCTAGCTCATTTTCGCGTGTTAATCAATTATCCTCAAATCCTTTCAACTAAGCTAATAAATGGGTGACGCAAGAGGTTCTGAAACGCACCATCTGTCAGTTCCACTGGAAAGGCCCCTTCCCTCTCATCTGCCTCCATTACGGAAGATTTAGTTCCAGGAGCCTCAGGGACCAGCAGCGAGTTCAGAGAAAGGTGCAGAAGGACGGATGACACCAGCAGTACCTCTCTCTGCAGGACTCACACGCTCCTCTTGTGGGGGTCTACGCGGGACTTCTGTGTTCTCTTAATTACAAATTAAGAAATCCACAGAACCCACTGAAAGACATGAAGCTTTTTTTAGAATAACGATTTTTCCACTGTGTCGCAACCTGGGTCGACCATGCAGAAAGCAGTAATAGCACATGATGGGAATTATATACACAAAGGAAGGTTCAGCATAGCCCCTGCTGCTAGTGGTGTTGCTAACTTAAGAGGGACACACACACACACAAAAAAAAAATCAGCTAAATACTGCCAGTTTAAGCCCAAAATTTTGGGACTCTTTTCAGAGGACTAAACAGTTGGGAAAAAAAAAAACAAAAAAAAATCTATTACTAGGAGGTATAACCATTGTAACTGGGAGGAACTGAGCACGCTGTGAGGTGCCCAATCCTACCTAAACCAAGAGGGTACTTTGTGGTGAGAAAAGAGAGCTCAGCTGCCCACTGCAATGACCATTTGGCACAGCACACCCTACCAGAAAGCTGCTAGAACACCAGGTCACTTTCAAGAAGTTGAATTCCAAACTTGCCTTTGAAACCCCCACCACCATCCAGGTGCAGAAGCCAGGGCACGGGCTCAAAACCCAGAGACCTAGGCTTGGTTTCCAGGCTGTGGGACACCATCTCCTGCCCCTTCCCATGGTAGGATACTCCGATGGGAACGGGCAGGGCTGAGCTGGGAGATGGGGGGGCAAGGGGGAAAGCAAACTCCCTTGGGCCCCTATTTAAGTCCCCCAGTTGACACACACCAATTTCCAGGGAGGATTTCCAGGGAGCTGTGGGAAATGGGATGGGGATGCCAGGTGAGCCAAGGCTGCTGCTCTAACACCAGAGATTGGCACCTGCCACAACTTATCAAGGCTCCTCCTCTGCTTAAGCGTGGCCAACAAAAAAAAAAAAAGGAAAAAAAGCATTTCTGCAGTAAGCTGTGAAGGTCACAGTAAAACACTGCCATTGAAAAAAGGAATTTCACTGAATTTTAGAGTTGGAAGGGACCATAGAGATTATCTAGCCCAACTCCCCTGCCAAAGCAGGACCACCCAGAGCTTGTCAGAGCATGTTACTCAGGACTGCATCCAGGCGGGTCTTGAAAATCTCCAAAGAAGGGGACTCCACCCCCTCCCTGGGCAGCCTGTTCCAGGGCTCCGTCCCCCTCACCGTGAAAAAGTTCTTCCTCATATTCAAGTGGAACCCTTTATGTTCCAACTTGCGCCCATTGCCCCTTGTCCTCTCACTGGGAACCACTGCAAAGAGTCTGGCTCCCTCCTCCCTCAGCCCGCCCTTGAGATACTTGTCAGCATTAATAAGGTCTCCCCTCAGCCTTCTCTTCTCCAGACTAAAGAGTCCCAGCTCTTTCAGCCTCTCCTCATAAGGGAGATGCTCCAGTCCTTGAATCATCTTTGTAGCCCTACGCTGGACTCTTTCCAGTAGTTCCCTGTCCCTCTTGAACTGGGGAGCCCAGAACTGGACACAGAATTCCAGTTGTGGCCTCACCAGCTTCTAACTCCTCTTCGACACAGTATTCCAGTTGTGGCCTCACCAGCTTCTAGCTCCTCTTCCTCTAGACTCATAGAATGGTTTGGGTTGGAAGGGACCTCAAAGATCATCGAGTTCCAACCCCCCTGCCATGGGCAGGGACACCTCCCACTAGAGCAGGTTGCTCAAGGCCTCCCGCCTTCAGACCCTAATTCCAGCCCTTCTGCCCCGCAGGGAATGCGCTTTCTGTGCGACACCATCACGGAGTGCTGGGACCACGACCCCGAGGCCCGTCTCACCGCCCACTGCGTGGCCGAGCGCTTCAACCTGATGGCGCAGATGGACTGCGACGACATCCTCAACAACAACACGGACAACGAGGCCACCAAAACGGCTTCTCCAGGCGGGGAGCCCCAGGACAGCGACGGGAGCAGAAACGGGCAGTGACACAGCAGGCAAAAGGCCTGGTCGTCGGAGATGAGAAGACGATGAGTGAGGAGCATTTAGCTCATGGGGGGAAAAAAAATCCCCGCTTCCTTTTTCCAAATGGAACTAAGATCCAGTACGTAACTTATTTATGAGATCTCTCTCTTCCCACACAGTGAACTGTGGAATCAATACTTTGGTTAAAGTGTAACATTATATACGAACTGATTTTGTACTTACTTTAAATGTATAATGATGCAAAGCATTCCTTTTATTATTTTTTAAAATAATAATGTTTAATCTTTTATTAATAAGCACCTGGACCCCATGCCTATTTTTGAAGTCCTTCCACGTGGCCATCACGAGTTTCTCTTCTGACTGCTTATTCTGCAGAGATCAAGACAATTTTTGATTTTCCTTCTTTAATGGCCTACACGCACACAAAAATTCTGTTGTAGCAGCAGGAAAAAAAAAATATCTAGAGATGTTACACACCCTCAGTAGAAGAAACACTGGCACCCAAGAAAATTGTTCACTGATCAGACAGTCCTTAATACACCACAAAGGTACCTGATAATCCGGTTTGCAAAAGCCTGACTTGCTGAAACTCCAACACACCTTTTTTCACTGGGGAACTCCTGGGTGTACTTTGTAGTTCAGGTGGGTGCGTGAAGTTTTGTCAATAGAATGAAAATAGACACCAGTGCAGATGCTGTTCGACTCTAAGAAGTCTCCATAGAGGGCATCCTGACACAACTCCTTCCCCGTATCAGTCCAGCTTCCAGCCACCTCAAGCCAACAGACTTGTGCCACAGTCATACCGTCATCACAAACATGTTCACTGATTACAGGATCACAGAGTGATATTGGATTGGAAGAGACCTCTGTAGATCATCTAGTCGAACCACCCTGCCAGAGCAGGTCCACCTAGAGCAGGTTGCACAGGAACGTGTCCAGGCAGGTTTTGAATGTCTCCAGAGAAGGAGACCACCACCTCTCTGGGCAGCCTATTCCAGGGCTCTGCCAGCCTCAAAGTAAAGAAGTTCCTCCTCTTGTTTAGGTGGAACTTCTTATAATCAAAATTGTGCCATTTCCTCTTGTCTTGTCATTGGGCACCACTGAAAAAAGACTGGCCCCATTCTCTTGTCACCCACCTTTTAAGTATTTATAAACATTGATCAGGTCCCCCCTCAGCCTTCTCTTCTCCAAAGACCCAAGTTTCTCAGCCTTTCCTCATTAGAGAGATGTTCTAGGTCCCTAATCATCTTCATAGCTCTTTGCTGTACCCTCTCCAGCAGCAATTCTCCTGGCAACTCTTTTGCACCCCTCTGCTGTGTTGCTCAACCTGAAGAAACATGATCAGACAGAACCAGGACCTTTACTCCTGTCACCACCAGCCCATGCCAGGCTGCCCACGGAGCAGGAAGGCAATCAAAAGGTTAAGTCCTATCTCCCTCTGAACCCTGGCACTCTGCAAAGCTTTATCCCTCCACCCGTGGAAGCAAAAGGTAATAAAAGCCTTAGGTGCTGCCAAGAAGCCCTGCAAGCCCATACCTGACACCGACACGGAGGTGTACCTTTCAGGATGGCATCAGAGAGGAAAACTGCCTGCCAGCACACGGCTTCGTGGGTCAGCCCCTACAGAAGGGAAGGGAGAAAACCCTACAACAGCCACAAGCTTTCTGAGGCCAAGGCTCCCCAGCGTGGAGCAGGGGAGCAGATCTGTGGGGCTGCTTTGGTTTTCTAAGACAGGACCAGCCCGTACAGAAACCTTTTCTTCTCTCGCTGTTGTTTCCACCTCTTCAGACTGTTCCCACAGCTCCCAAAATTAAAACCCTAGAACAAAATTGTCTCTAATTCCTTCAAAGAAGGACAGAAGGGGAATGAATTAGGTCACATAAAATCTAAATAATAAAAACTAACTTTGGCCACCAAGCTTAAGTCTCCACCTGTGACTCTGACCAGACCTTTCATTGTCACCAATCCCCCACCTTGCTCCTACCTCCTGTCACCTTATGATTTTTTTCAAGCCAACCCCCTTATCTCCGAGCATATCCTCCCCACTTCACCAGAAACACACTCTTTCCACCTACCTGACTTCAGCCTCATTTCTTTAACAGATTAACCACTGGCTTTACTCTATACATACCCAAAATGAACAGAGAGCCTGGGGCAGCTCCTGGGACATGGAGATAAGGAGCTACAGGAACACACCGAACTCCCCCCAGGGCTGTCCAATCTTTCCTTCTCATAATATTCAGGGCAAAATTTCCCCTTCCAAGTTCTGCACCAAATTGTCTGGATATAGCACTGATGAATAAATTTACTTGTTCTTCCAAGTTCAGCTCAAGAGGCTTTAAAAGACACCCTGACCTGTTCTTCTGCAGGTGACTGGGACAGAGGGGGAGGATCAGCCCGTGCAAACCAGACATCGAAGGTTGCATCTCTGATTCCAATAGCTGAAATCCAAATTCAGAAACTTAATCCTAGGGTTGACAGTTTATACTGTAAATACGCCGAAAAACTTCAAGCTATTCCCCTCCCCGTGCCTAAAATCTTGAACACTCCAATTTACATATTGCTTTTTTTTTTTCCATAAAAACCAAGTCCAGAATCAAGCCTTCAGAATTACATGCTTGAATGCCTGCGTTAAATAGGAGTGACTTTGTTTTAAATAGGAGTCTCTGTTTTCCACAAGCAGCAGGGCACCCTCTCTCTGAAGAGAGACACTTATTTAACCTCCCAAGATCCGTTTATATCCCAGGGAGCCTAAAACCACTGATACCAGGAAGAATTTTGCTCTTCACTTCAGTGGAGCCCAATCAAGCCAAAAAGACAGAAGGGAAGACAAGACCAAATCCTACATTTTGCCATGCTCCCCACTGAACACACTGTGGTTCTAGCAAATACCTACGCAGGAAGCAGCAGCGATGCCCTTCCCTTCGCTCCAGAAGGTATAAGATGGAAACAACAGCCGTTACGCAAGAGAACTCAAATCTGGTCAGAGTTAAAAATACATACATTAGTCCACAGGGTGCTTGTAACTCTCAGAAGAATCACACAAATATCTTAAGATTTAAGCTGGATATTCAGTGGCTAGAATTCTTTTTTTTTAGCTGTTTCTACTATGTCCTTTATTCCTAGAAGTATCTAGAAACTCACATCATAACTGAATCCACATCACGAAGCCAGTCCGGTCCTTGTGATCACCCGAGCAAAGGAAGGCTTTACCATCTTTTTTTCTCCTAGCAGCACCCCCAAGTTGAAAGAAATCGTTTCATGTATTTTAAAAGACTTACTTCTTCAGCCTTGGGTCTATTTTTTACACAACAAAATTAGTAACAGCTTTTTCAGTGTGAAACCACAAGCATACCAGATGAGGGTGGAAGAGAAATAACCGGACTAATAATATTATATAAGGAACACAAATGGGTTTATGGTCAACACGGGAGCTTTTCAGTCAGTTTTACAGCCATCACCTTGACAAATTCCCCAATCAAAATTTTAAGCAGAGCTCAGCGACTGAGTCATAGGTCTATATTTTAATAAGCACAAGTTGATCCCTGGAGCACGCTCAGCTGGCAAAGGTTTGTTTTCTGCTCTGATCGCAGCAATATCAAAAGCTGGACCTCGCACCGCAGCCCTTGCTGTTTGTTTAAAGCTAATCTGCCACGTGACACAGACAGAACAACTATGAAACACATACGGCTTTCTCAGTTTAGTTTCTGTCCCTTTACCACCCCCAGTTTGGTGCAGGTACCGATGAACCATGGAAGTTCACACGTCACCACCATAATCCCTACCCCCAACCCTGGAATCGGCCAAGGAGCACACCCCAAAATGTGCTGCAGACCCAGAAACAAGGAGGAACTAATCCCACTGTTTTCATTTTTATTTTTATTCCTGGTTAAACATGAAAATGCCCAATGGATATCCAAAACTAACACAACAGGATGGTTGTACAGAATATCACAAACAAGACAGCAGGGCCTAAAACATTCTTCAGCTGGAGAGCATAGTTACTACTCAAGTGCACAGTGCCAAAATATCCTGCTCAAAGGGCCAAGGAAATCCCGGACGGACGGATCTCCAGCATCAAAGATAACAACAGCCTAGTCTTCCCAGTCACCTGATCTCTAGGAAACCACACAGAGCAGATGAATCATTTTGTAGTTTTATTATCCCCACCCCCACTTCTCACAAACGGACTAGGACTCGCATTGAGATCTCAGTGCATTTCACAGCAAAAAAAAAAAAAAAGTACAAGAGGATCAAAATAGTTGTGCATAAACCCAACTTTTTTTTTTTTTTTTTTTTGCACGATTTACAGTTGTGTTGAAAGTTAAGATGGTTATTTAAACCTTCTGATGCATTCTTACACTTGTATCTTCTCCGTGGAAAACATCTTACCGGATCACACAGTTGTGAGTTCTCATAATGCTGGATCAGGTGCAGCCATTGCCATGGCTGGGAGGTGGCAGATAATGTTATATACACTGGTTGGAAGACTACATCAGAAGAAAAAACAGAGTAAGGCACCACTGTTGGAAAAATTAAGGTAGCTTGTAGTTACAATAACGAAAGCCATAATAAGTACTATTCTTAATTGCCAGCAATTCTTAGACTTCAATAAAATAGTTATAAAAAAAAACCAAAAAACAAAACAACAACAAAGGATGTTTGTACCTGAATACAGTTTCCTGATATCTGATTGTGTTTCAAATCAATACCAAGTCCTCAGCATAATCAGCTTTTTTTTTTTTTTTATATATGGTAAGATGGAAAACCAGGACCTACAGTCGATGTATTCACAGGTCACATTTCACCGCTTTGTTCTGAATAACACCACAGGGAAAAAACCAAAACAATCCAAAGGACAGTTTGTAACACTGATACTTCCCCTCTTAGATGATTAGATGGGCAGAGAAATTTAAATACAAAATCATACATTTTCTGTTCATTTTGAAAGCCTTAGTCCTCGGGAAGGGATGGTGAAGGAAGGAAAAAAGGCCAAACCTCATTACATTATAACATGAGAAAAGTCAAAGTCACTCAAAGAGATTTAATAAAATTAGGAGTTGAAAAGTGTTCAAATTACTTTTCCAATTCAAGTCAATTATTTCAAGTATATTAAAACGTTTCAGAGGAAAAATTTCTCCATGGTTACAATTCTAATCGCTTTTATAAATCCATAAAAAAGAAAGGTAGTCTCTACACATATTCCATATTCCTCCGATGCATGCACGTGTTCTCTCTGAAGAAAAAAGTCATCATGATCCAGTTGTTTCTTAACACTGATTTCAGGCACATCTTCCAAACATCCCTCCAGTTTTCGCCAGAAAGGTTAATCACTGGGCATAAAAGCAGCAATTTTTGGTTGCTGTTGTCTACATGGGTACTGAGCAGGTTTCAGTTATTAAAGAGCTTGACGGAGATTCTGAAAGTTCCCATGTCACTCCAAAATCCAACAGTTCCTTCTCCTCTTAGGCAGCTTTTGCAATCAGATCTACTTAGAAGAATCTTACACAATTCAGATAAAATCTCTTGGATCATACAAAAAACAAGTTGGTTGAATGTACCTGGCAAGTTTGTCTCTACAACTTTTTTTTTTTTTTTAATAGCTTTAAAGTGCCCTAGTATACTTATTTCTTTATGCTTATTTAAACTTCCACAATTACATAAAAAGGGGACACTCGGTGTGATTACTGTGTTTTGAGAGACAGGGGAAAAAGGAGAGGAAAAATCAGAAAACTCATCTCAAAGCAGCTTTTTTAGTTAGTGTCCGTTTGCTGAGTTTGCACAGCGGAGACCGTTTTCCAGAGGGGTTTATGGTAAACCCAGCCATCGCCCTGCAATCGTAAGAGAAAAAGACGGTTACAATAAAGACACTGCCCCAGGAGAATCCCCTTCACACAACTATTAGTCTGATAGCTGTGAAAACCAAAAGGGACAAAACTTACACGTTTAACTCCTGCAGATGAAGACAGAGAGATCAATGCTGCAGGCTCTGAGACTGCTCCAGAACACACACGGACTCGTGCCGAGCCGCAGCGCGCTCCAGGAATCGACTGCACTTGTAATTAGCCCAGATGCAAAGCCACTCTCCTCAGCTCCCTGATCCAGATTACTTTAAAAAGCCAACCAGGAAGGCAGCAGAGAGGCAGCCATCCAAGATTATCAGCTCTAACACAGCCTGACCACTAACCCGGAAAGGAAGGAGCTCGGGATTACACTGAACCATTTTCTGAGTAGATCTGTCTCTCGGATCAGCAGCAGAATTTCACCTCTTCTAAATCTAGACACTGACAATACAAATATCTACATCTGAGCCAGTCGTGCTAACATAGCTTCAGAGAACAAAAAGCTTTATTGGAGCTAACGGATAGTCCTGAACTTTAATAAACAAAACCAGAAGGATAACCAATAAAAAAATTTTAGCCCATTTCAAACCCCTGCTAGACCACATATATGGCAAAAAGATGAAGGAGGAGTTACATTACTGCAGTTTCACAGATAATATTTGCACTACAAGGAGAATTTAAACTACTACAGCATAAGTTTTCATTGAGTCCTCCCCTCTTGCACGGGGCTCAGCAAAGCTCTCTGCACAAGAAGGGTCTCACTGCCTGGGTCACAAGGAAAGACTACTTCAAAGTTATCATACTGGTAGCCACCAGGCTTCCTGGGCAGGCTGCAGTTCACCTTGTTAAAAGTCTTACTACATTATTATTATTACTACCATTATTGAAATACAGGTTAAGCCACTGAACAAATAAGCTCCAACCAAAACATAACATGTGAGTACACAAGAAGTTCTAAGCTGAGAATTAACTCAGGTTCCTTCTTGCTAACAGTAATATCTGGGGTTGATACGCACACAAGATAAGCAACATTAGTACTACTGATTATTTCCTTTGAGTATTTACCATTGCAGTCTACTTATATGTGCCCATGTAAAGCTGTTTTCTATGTACCACAAGGAAGTGCTTGGTAAAAGAAACTGAACCACAAACCAGGCAGACAATTTGTTGCAAGGAAACTGCCAAAGTGTTTGAGAAGTGAAGGGTAAAGTCACACGTTTAAATGCTCGAGCATGCTTCTGTCACCTTACTCCTACAGACCCCATGGAGGCAAACTGTAAGATCTAAGGCCAAATACTCTATTCTGACAGGACACAGACCCTGATGTGCTTCCTTCTTGCTAACAGTAATATCTGGGGTTCATACGCACACAAGATAAGCAACGTCAGTACTACTGATTATTTTCTTTGAGTATTTACCATTGCAGTCTACTTATATGTGCCCATGTAAAGCTGTTTTCTATGTACCACAAGGAAGTGCTTGGTAAAAGAAACTGAACCACAAACCAGGCAGACAATTTGTTGCAAGGAAACTGCCAAAGTGTTTGAGAAGTGAAGGGTAAAGTCACACGTTTAAATGCTCGAGCATGCTTCTGTCACCTTACTCCTACAGACCCCATGGAGGCAAACTGTAAGATCTAAGGCCAAATACTCTATTCTGACAGGACACAGACCCTGATGTGCACCTGCTTTCATTGTAGCTCTGCCTTCATCAATAGCTAACTGCTTGAGAACTTACTTCTTTAAGGAAGTATTTAGTACACCAAGGTGTTTCTGTTTCAGCACGAAGCCTCTCTTCATTCCTCTGTCGTTCTTCAAGGGCTCGCTTGTGCTCCGTAGCCTTATCGATGTCTCCATCCCGCAGAGACTCTGTTACATGCTGCCACAGCCTCCTACAAAACAAATCCTTAACTTCAGTTTTCAAAGCCTGGAACTTCCTTTGGGAACAGGAGCACTCCCTGCACTTCGCCAGAAAGGTTAATCACTGGGCATAAAAGCAGCAATTTTTGGTTGCTGTTGTCTACATGGGTACTGAGCAGGTTTCAGTTATTAAAGAGCTTGACGGAGATTCTGAAAGTTCCCATGTCACTCCAAAATCCAACAGTTCCTTCTCCTCTTAGGCAGCTTTTGCAATCAGATCTACTTAGAAGAATCTTACACAATTCAGATAAAATCTCTTGGATCATACAAAAAACAAGTTGGTTGAATGTACCTGGCAAGTTTGTCTCTACAACTTTTTTTTTTTTTTTAATAGCTTTAAAGTGCCCTAGTATACTTATTTCTTTATGCTTATTTAAACTTCCACAATTACATAAAAAGGGGACACTCGGTGTGATTACTGTGTTTTGAGAGACAGGGGAAAAAGGAGAGGAAAAATCAGAAAACTCATCTCAAAGCAGCTTTTTTAGTTAGTGTCCGTTTGCTGAGTTTGCACAGCGGAGACCGTTTTCCAGAGGGGTTTATGGTAAACCCAGCCATCACCCTGCAATTGTAAGAGAAAAAGACCATTACAATAAAGACACTGCCCCAGGAGAATCCCCTTCACACAACTATTAGTCTGATAGCTGTGAAAACCAAAAGGGACAAAACTTACACGTTTAACTCCTGCAGATGAAGACAGAGAGATCAATGCTGCAGGCTCTGAGACTGCTCCAGAACACACACGGACTCGTGCCGAGCCCCAGCGCGCTCCAGGAATCGACTGCACTTGTAATTAGCCCAGATGCAAAGCCACTCTCCTCAGCTCCCTGATCCAGATTACTTTAAAAAGCCAACCAGGAAGGCAGCAGAGAGGCAGCCATCCAAGATTATCAGCTCTAACACAGCCCGGCCGCTAACCCGGAAAGGAAGGAGCTCGGGATTACACTGAACCATTTTCTGAGTAGATCTGTCTCTCGGATCAGCAGCAGAATTTCACCTCTTCTAAATCTAGACACTGACAATACAAATATCTACATCTGAGCCAGTCGTGCTAACATAGCTTTAGAGAACAAAAAGCTTTATTGGAGCTAATGGATAGTCCTGAACTTTAATAAACAAAACCAGAAAGATAACCAATAAAAAAATTTTAGCCCATTTCAAACCCCTGCTAGACCACATATATGGCAAAAAGATGAAGGAGGAGTTACATTACTGCAGTTTCACAGATAATATTTTCACTACAAGGAGAATTTGAACTACTACAGCATAAGTTTTCGTTGAGTCCTCCCCTCTTGCATGGGGCTCAGCAAAGCTCTCTGCACAAGAAGGGTCTCACTGCCTGGGTCACAAGGAAAGACTACTTCAAAGTTATCATACTGGTAGCCACCAGGCTTCCTGGGCAGGCTGCAGTTCACCTTGTTAAAAGTCTTAATATATTATTATTATTACTACCATTATTGAAATACAGGTTAAGCCACTGAATAAATAAACTCCAACCAAAACATAACATGTGAGTACACAAGAAGTTCTAAGCTGAGAATTAACTCAGGTTCCTTCTTGCTAACAGTAATATCTGGGGTTGATACGCACACAAGATAAGCAACATTAGTACTACTGATTATTTCCTTTGAGTATTTACCATTGCAGTCTACTTATATGTGCCCATGTAAAGCTGTTTTCTATGTACCACAAGGAAGTGCTTGGTAAAAGAAACTGAACCACAAACCAGGCAGACAATTTGTTGCAAGGAAACTGCCAAAGTGTTTGAGAAGTGAAGGGTAAAGTCACACGTTTAAATGCTCGAGCATGCTTCTGTCACCTTACTCCTACAGACCCCATGGAGGCAAACTGTAAGATCTAAGGCCTGCTCTGTTCTGACAGGACACGGACCCTTATGTGCAACCTGCTTTCATTGTAGCTCTGCCTTCATCAATAGCTAACTGCTTGAGAACTTACTTCTTTAAGGAAGTATTTAGTACACCAAGGTGTTTCTGTTTCAGCACGAAGCCTCTCTTCATTCCTCTGTCGTTCTTCAAGGGCTCGCTTGTGCTCCGTAGCCTTATCGATGTCTCCATCCCGCAGAGACTCTGTTACATGCTGCCACAGCCTCCTACAAAACAAATCCTTAACTTCAGTTTTCAAAGCCTGGAACTTCCTTTGGGAACAGGAGCACTCCCTGCACTTAAGACATGACAAGCCAACCCAGGTGGGAGCATGACAGTGCATAGGAGGTGGAAGGGCTCACAGCCAAGCTGTAGAGCTACACCAGCAATTAGGGACAGATAGGAAGGGCTCTGAGGTGCTGGCTGTGCCAGTCTGGTGTCTGTTTGTACACTTGTTGGGGTTGCTATGGGAGTGTTACTCAATGAGCAGCCTTTGGTGAGGACCTTCCTTCTCAGGAGCTGCCCACGCTGTGTAGCTGATGATTAAAACCAAAACAAATAAGGAGGCTCTGTTCTAGCAGGCACTTTGTGAACACTTAAGACAACTCTGTCCATGAATAAAAGAAACAAGATAAACAACCATGCACCTGCACTTGGTCTTTGCACTTTTTATTATCCACTTGGGTTTGATTATTTTTTTTTTTTAAAATACCCAAAAGTCACTGCTGCTAAACATTATCCACAAATAACATCTACATTTGCAGATTTTCCTAAGGCATTCACCTTAGGAAATGGGTCAGACAACAGCAAACACATACTCTACCTAGACTCAAAAGGTCCTTGTTTCTCAAGGGGCCGGACCCGTTTTCTTGTCACGGACAGCTTTATCAAGTCCACGTATTTTGTCTCCCCATTGCTGTAGGTGAACTCCAGCACGCTGTTCCACTCTCCTTGCACTCTGCACACCACTGTGTTTGTTGCATTCTGCTTCACTTCACCCGTGACTCTAGGAAAGCAATTTATTTTTAAAAGGCATGGCTGAAGACACCTGAGGACTATTTGTTGCATAACCACTCGACTTCATTCTGAATGAGCTTGGAAACTTGTCACGCTGCCTTGAAAATTGTTAGTTATTTCAATTGTATTTGTGTGGAGAAGCTCAAAGAGCAAAATGACTTTCACTGGCTGTTCTAGTTCTCTTTATGTTACCCAGGAAACTCCATTTTTGGCTTCAGCTTGAACCGTTTTCAAACCTTTTAATGGAATTGAAAATGAAAAAGAAACTAACACAGGCTGGTTCACGCATAGCAAGCAATTGATCATTTCTACTTGAAGCATCACATCAGGTATGTAGTTCAGACTTAAAAAATAAAAATTGAACTTTCTAGCAAGAATGTATCTCGCTACCTGCTGGCACTTTATCTCACATCTTTACATCCCAATATACCCCCTATGTGGGTGATCTCGTTTTCATGTTGCTCACACAAGCAGCAGTCACACATAGGCAGAAAGCAAGGCAGGAAACTAGTAATCAGGAGAACTGCTTTTCTTCCCTGTCTCTTCCACAGAAACCTCTGCCAACAACAAGATATTAAAAATGTCTTTCTAATCTGCAGTATTTCATTCCAAGTGCTGCACAGATGCTCAAGTATCACCATAATTACACATGCTTACGCATATTTTTCTTCTCAACATCAAGACCTGTCCAAAGATCTCCCAACACTCACTCCATCCTGAATGAAGGAATGGAAGCTTAGGGAGCATTGCTGGCACCCTCAACTACCACCCTCAAACACAACGTTTCTCCCAGGAAGAAGAAACAAAAGGGTCAGCACACGATGCAAACAAGACTTGAGACATTCTCACTTGGAAGGTGCTGCAGGATTCACAAAGGATTCACCGTCTCCAGCTCCAATTAACCTGCAATTAGCTGAACACAAGCTCTCTACAAACACACCACTCTCCAGCTCCCCTTCCCGCATTTCATCTGCGCTCACACAAACCACACATTACGTCTCCTTTCACACTTACATTCTGTGCAGTTGATAACAGCTAATTTGCAATCCACTGCTTTGCTGCTATTTCCTTTGAACACAGAGAGGAGCAGAAAGCAGCTCCCACCTTGTGCTCCCACCCTGCCCACTCTGGCTGCGTGGTGCCACGCTCAGAAGGGAGCACAGGACACATAGATGCCATTCTTCCTTTTCTGCATCCACTGGTCACTTCCAGCTGTGTCTACACCTACCTGTCCCCCCTGAGCCTGGCATCAAAATAGGGAAATTAATCTCTCAGGCAACAAAAGGAGCATCACAGGCCAGACCTTGCAGCCCAGAGACACTGGATGCCAGTGCAATCAGACCTGTGGGGAATCCTCAGGGCAAGCAGGGCAAGCTCACAGCCGAGTCAGAGCAGGAGGAAACAGCCAGGGCTTTTGTCACATCCTGCACATGCAGGAAGCAGCTGGAGCCACATCACAGTCCAGCAGCTCCAACCCGATTTAACTTCACTAGAAAGATCTTGCAAAAAACCAGACTGCCCAGGCATGGTTCTCCGTTACAAAAATTGAAGATTCATTCCAGAAAAGAGGCCAGAGATGGAGCAACACCAGCTCCATGTTTACATTGCATGTTTACATTAAACTATTAAGCTCTTTTTGGTGGAAGTCAACAAGCACTAACAGTTTCTGAAAAAGTAGGTGACAAGCAAACAGCCTTCATTTTGTGCTGCTTTTTCATGCTGTGACTTCCACGCCTCACCAAAGCTACTACAAGCGGTGGAGTCCCTGCCCTCCTCCCAAGGGATCTCTGAACAGACTGACTCTGACAAGGTGCCAGAGACCAGCCTGTTCAGACTTTGCAGTTACATCTTCACAACCTTAAGAGCTTAATTTTGCCAAGCACCGTGTGGACAACACAAGGCTGACATCCAGTATTTAATATCAATCACAAAATGACTGCCTCCACTCAGCTTAAAGTAAACGAAGTTGTATCACTCACTACTACAGTGCAGTACTGAGCTGCTATACCACACAACCATTCCCAGCACTGCAGATCACAATATCTGTCTGAACTAATATTCGTGATAAA